CATCCCCAGAAAAGGACTGTTGCGGGGTCTGTTATTGTGATATAATAAGAAATATATTTGGTCTCTATCCCCAGCTCCTGAGACAGAGCTCCTAAAACCCTTTTTAAATATATATTTATATTTATAGTTACATTTGATTTCAGAGAGAAATGGAGAGGGAGAGAGAGATAGAAACATCAATGATGAGAAATCATTGATTGGCTGCCTCTTGCACACCCCCTACTGGGCATTGAACTGGCAACTAGGGCATGTGCCCTAACCCAGAATCAAACCGTGACCTCCTGGTTCATAGGTTGACACTCAACCACTGAGCCACCACTGCTGGGCTCCTAAAAACCCTTTTAATCTTCTAGGTGACGAGAGTGATAGGAAAACCTCTGTTATAATGTCTGCTTTTTGTCCCCAGCTCCTGAGACAGCTGCATACTGATACAAATGAAAGGAGCATCTTTTGTTACTCACAGCAAGGCTCTCTCGACCCCACTGGAGCTCATGTCAATGAGCTGACATTTGGATAGCCCCTCAGGATAGGGCGGGTGGCCAGGGGAAATAACCAGGTGATAGATCATGCCTATCTAATGAGGCCTCCAAAAAAGCCTAACTGAAGGGATTCAGAGAGCTTCCAGGTTGGGGAAGACAGGGGGTGCTGGGAGGGCAACATGCCTGGGAGCTCTGCACCCCTCCCTCACACCTGATTGATAGCCAGCCATTTAGAAATACAGGTGACAACCTGGGACTTGCGATTGATGTGTGATGTGGGGGACAGTCTAGACCAGTGATGGCGAACCTTTTGAGCTCGGCGTGTCAGCATTTTGAAAAACCCTAACTTAACTCTGGTGCCGTGTCACATATAGAAATTTTTTTATCTTTGCAACCATAGTAAAACAAAGACTTATATTTTTGATATTTATTTTATATATTTAAATGCCATTTAACAAAGAAAAATCAACCAAAAAAATGGTTTGCCATCACTGGTCTAGTGGGACGAGCCCCTAACTGGTGGAATCTGGTGCCAGCTTCAGGTAGACAGTGTCCAATTGAGTTAAAGTGCAGGCTACCCAGTTGGTGGCTGCAGAGAACCGGGGAATCGGCTGGTGTGGAAACTCACACGCCTGGTGTCAAAAGTGGTGTGGGGCGCTGTGTGGGTAACAACCTAGCACCTCTCTGAACTGGTCTCAGAGGGTCATTTCACTCACAGGACTCTCTCCTGTTTTCCCAGCGGCCCTGCTTCTGCCTGTTTGAGTCTTTACCTCCTGCCACTTCTGTGAACACCTTACAGTAATGTTGTCTTTTGATGCTTACAACCAAAAGCCCTGGCTGAAATGAAGGGGAACGTACAACCCATTTGGGGAGGCGATATGTATAACTGAGGGCTGAGTAGTGTCATGAAACAGGGTGACTCCCCTCCCCACGACTCCATGTGTCCTTAGAGGGGCTGGTACCACCTCCAGGGAGAACCACGGGGTGGTGACCATTGTCCTCTTAAAGAAGCTTTTACCAGGAGTCCATCTGCATTCATAGCTTTGTTTCCTAATTTACAGTCTACTACAGGCAATGCTTGGTGAGGACATAACAACTTCATGCATGTAAACTTACACTCTTCCTTCCAGCAGAAGTGCCATCCATGGGTCCTTGTGCATAAACTGACACACTCTGGTTTTAGGCTTGGTGACACCCTCCGTACGCTCAGCAGAGGAGCCACAGACTGCTCTGCACAGGCATGTGAGGCCCTGCCTGCAGTCCAGGCCGGCCCTGCTCCCAGCAACAGAGCAGTGGATAGTAGGCAATGGTGGGCACATGAAGGCAGGAAGACATCCCATCCCCCCAGGCCTGCCTTGCTGAGGAAACTCGGATCCTGCAGGATCCTTAACCACAGTATGGCCAATTCTTCATAGCAGAAATGTCCCCGCAGGAGACAGACCACAGCAGCGGGCCTGCTCCGGGGGCACAGTGCCTCTGGCTCTGTGTCCGCTGCTGAGCCTTCTGCCACCTCTGAGCGTTCACCCCTTGTGAGGCTGTCATGCTCCTCAACCAGGTCAGGGGTCACTCCCGAAAGCCAGCACCTCTGTTGAGCGTGTTGCCTGTGTCACTAAGCCTCAAACCCTCCTTAGAGAGAGTCATTCCCTGAGCTCAGGAGTGGCCTAAGGACAAGCAGCATCTGCCCCATCCATAGCCAGCGCTTGTGTGGGGGGCGGGGGGCAGTCAGAGGGCTGCAGGAAAGGCAGCTGAAGCCCCCGCTCTGACTCCCAGTCTTGGCCAGGCCAGGCCACCTCCCTCCTCTCCGCAGAGCTGCATGTTCCCACCTCCTACCTGAGACCAAGGCAGGGCCCATGTGACTGAGAGCCGCTCAGAGGCTGAGATCAAAGGGGGACCCCAGCTCCCCAGGCTGTGGGTCTGCATTCTGAGACCAGAACCACCCCCAGTGGGAGCAGTGAGACTTGGGGAGTCACCTTGCCTCACTGCCTGGGTCTCTGCCCCTCTTTTGAAAATGGGGTGATGCAGCATCCACCCTGCAGAGGCATGAGAGTGAGGGAAGGGCTCGGTGGACTAGAACCTGTTTTATAAACAGAAAGAAATTCAGGGTAGCTCAGGCCACACTCATACCTCAGTCTTTTACTTTCCTTTTCTAAAGCAGATATGGGGTCATTCGGCCTGGGACTCTGACTCGGAGCTGTGACAAGGCAGGCTTTCTGGTCTGGGTTTACTCATAAATCCTGGTGCTCAACTCAAAAAGGGAGCTCAGGGCCAGGACTCAGGACTGACCTCCGGCGGTGGCGGCGTTGGGTGGAGGCAGTGAAATCCCCGCCTGTGTTCTGCAGACTTGTAGGAGCACCAATGCTGGGGCTGAGAGGCTGGGGGACACAGGCCTGCGCCCCACAGAGCTGCCCACAGGAGCCAGGGAGCTTCCAGGAGCTTCCAGAGATTGTGTTTTCTCTCCTCATCAGAGGTTGCTATGGTGACCGAAGCAGGAGGAGACACCCGCTGGTCTGGCTCTACACAGATCATCTATCCTGGCTCATCTTTATTCCAGGTCTTGGTCAGAGCTGGTACTGGGAGCGCCTGAGAGGGGGGAAGGACATCCAGAGTCCAGACCCTTGGCACCAGTTACGTGTGCGTGGTGGGAGAGAATTGTGTTGGGACATTGTGTGTGCTTGTGTACAGGTGGGGGGATAGGGGTGGGTTACATTGCTGCGTGTGTATTATGATGTGCAGGGGGGATGCTAGTGAGAGAAGTGGGGTGGTGTCAAGAGTGCACATGATAGTGAGGCCTTTCCCAAATGTGCCCTTGATCTATACCTCAGGGGAGAGCACACCTGCCAGCTGCACGCTGCCCACAAAGGAGAACCCTCCACTTCCACTTCCTGGAAGCTATGGATTATTCCTCCTGTCCCGGCAGCAAACCATTGTGAGAATCCAGCCATTTCTTCTAGGCTGTGTTCCCTGCTCTCAAGCCTTGGCTCTCTCACCTGACTTCTCCTTGAGGACAGTGACTTTCTCGTGTTTACTGCTGTACCTGGCACATAGTAGGTGCTCAGTAAACTTGTTGAATGAATGAACGAGTGAGTGAATGGATGAATGAATAAAGGAGAACTTTTATCCCTTTGTTTGTCATTGGCCCATTTGGGAACTCCCTGATCCTCACCAATTCTAAAGCTCTGCTTTAGGGCTTAACTGAAGGCTTGCCTCCTCTCCTAAGCCCTCAAAGACACCTCACCTCCCAGGCCATTCCTTGTCTGAATTCTGGCACTGGCTTCCATTACGCTCATGGCTCACTGGCCTGTATGACCTTGAACTGTGAGAGTGTCCTGTCTCCTTGACCAGATGTCTAGCTCCTCAATGGGAAGGACATTACTTCCTCTTTTGTGTCCTGAGCACAGGCCTCTGCAAACAGCAGATGTTCAATGAACGCTGGAGACTGCAATGTTGTGAATCAGTGAACACATTCTAGCCTGAATAGTTCACACATCCAGGTGGTTTCCTGCCCAGAAGACCTCCTGCAGGTTCATGGGTAAGACTTGCAAGATCAAGATGTTTCTAGTGAGTCTGAATTAGGTGGGGGAGGGGCATGGATTTGGGGGAGGCTGGTCTAAACTCTATGCTTTATCCTTTCCCCATAAACTCATGTTTGAATTTGACTAAGTCTTTGAGCCTAGTTCACCACCTCATTCTACAATCATTGCTCTTTCTGAATGGAACTGACCACTTCCTCTCCAAACAAAATTTTAGCACTTTTCTACCCCAGTCTTGGGTACTGACCCTGGTCTTCCTACGTTGCATGACTTAGTTACATTTCTGATGTACCTGTTAGGTGGTCAGCTATGTCTTTGTTTAGCATCCCTCTGTGGGCACCACCCCTGTTTCAGGTGATCTGAAGGGACTGTGAGTTACAGCTCCCTGCCCATTGCCACCACCCCTAGGAACACTCATGTGATCCAGACAGACATTCCTTTTAGGTCTTACTCTGGCAAGAGTGACTGGTCCATTGGATGAACACCTGGCCAAGCAAGGCCATCTGGATATTTTCATAGGATTTAAATATAGACGCATAGAAACAGGGTGTCTTTTCAGATGAGGTAGCTCAGCTGGAAGGATCTAAACCTGAAGTTTCCAGGGTCCATCTTTCTCAGCCTCATGGAGAAAGCTCCTCACTCCCCTTGATTCTCCTGCTCCAGGCAGCCCCAGGCCACCTTCTGCCCAGGGTCCTAGCACTACTGCTGGGAGATGGGAATGAGACAACCCTTTTGGACACCCAGCCAGAGGCAGGAGAGAGGAGAGCTCCTGGCCTGGAAGACAGCCCCAAGGGCCCCATCCCACCTTCAGTTACTATGGCAACTCACTTCCCCTCGAAAGCTCCCACTTCTCTCCCTCAGAAATGTGTTTTGGTGCAATGGCCTTTACACTTCCTTGTACCCCAAGGACAGACTCTAAACCACAGCATAGACTCTGTCACCACGTCTCAGAGCCACATCCACCGGGAGCAGAGGCAGAGCACCGACCTACCTGTACTCCTGGATGTGTCACTCAGTGCAGGTGGGTTTGCAACATCCTGTGCTAATGGCTGCAGCTCAGCTTTTTCAAAACATCTGTTTCCACACCTGAAACAACAAGAGCAATCACTAACATTTTGAAATCACACTGCAGTATACAGATTCCGCCCCCTCTTCCACCTCCCCCCCGCCCCCAACACACACACACAGGATGGCCTGGGCCGGAGAGACCTTCCTGAGAGTTATTACAGGACAACCACAAACCAGAGAAGTCGCCAGACTTGCCAGGGTCACACAGCACCGTTAGTGTGGCTGACTGGCTTGGGTTGATCTTGGTTCCAGGTTGAGCTTCTGTTGTCTCGAATACAGGGAAACCTTGCTTCGTCTCACTAAGCTATTGTGAGGCTAGAATCTATAAAAAATACTTGTTAAGACCTTTGCACATTCAGAGCTCTCAGTCTGTGCTGAATAATTGATGGGTGCTGCTCCTGGCTGCTTAGAGCAGATTCACAGGCCTCTGCCATAGGCTGGGAACGTGGAGACCTTTCCCATCATTTTGCCCAGTGAAAGAATTTGCCGAGGAAATCACCAAGAAAAAGTTGTGTTCCCTGTTGGTGTGGGGGAGACCCTGGCTCCCGGGAGCCATAGATCTAATCTAATTTATTGCCTCACTGAAAGGAGAGGAGAAAGTGCAGGCTGCTGCAGGGAGGGGGCTGCGGGCTACCCAGAGTCTCTGCCACGGTGGCTTTTCCAAGGCTGTGAGGCCCTGGGAAAGGGTTGCTTTGCTCTGACAGGCAGGAGAAAGGTGCCTGGGAATCTGAGAGTTGGGTGGGGAGGCACGGAATCAGCCCTGGGAAAGGAAGAGTATGAAGCAAGGTTTTCCTCCATGAAAACACCTGACAAGGCAGAGATGTCTGGGAAGGGCAGAGGCAGCCTCTGTGGCCATCCCTGCCGACGGCTGCATGTGACCATAGAAACTTCCTGTCCAAAGGCCCTGGCAGCAAGGATCAGGGAGCAGAAAGTAGACACAGGGTGGCTATTAAAGCAATTTGCAAAGTAGGCAGTTTGAGCCGGTATTCTGGCTATGAGAACAGGGAACAGCTGGCTAAACTTTAAAGCAATTTGCAAAGATCAAAGTAGGCACAGTTTGAGCTGGTATTCTGGCTATGAGAACAGGGAACAGCTGGCTAAAACTTACGGAACCATTCACGGCTCAGGACACCAAGGATGCACAATCCTCCCACAGCGGGATGTGGCCTACACAGTGTCTCCTGACTGGCATTTGTCTCAGTCCCCGAAACAAGACCGATTTAGGACTATCCCGACCCACAGGATAATTGGCTCCAATTTCAAATGAGCAGAATCAACAAGTCCCAGCTCAAGTGGGTTTGTTCTGATGACTGGCTTTCTCTCTCACTCTGCAAGTTCCAACTCAATGGTTTCACGAGGACTTCCTAAGTAGTCTCATGGTGTGCTCCGTGCTCATGCAAGTCACTTCGCTTTCATACTATGTCTGGACCTGCCGGCCTCCCAGGCGGCTGAAGAGCCCTTGGAGTTTCTGTGTGTGTGGGCAGGGCCCCGTCCTAATGACTCCAGGATGGGGAGTTGAGGGTGGTTCCAGCTTGGGCACAGCCTGACCAGCAACATTTGGCACTGCCTGCCACTCACCCAAGGTGCCCCCCGCCCTGGGGCTTGGAGGGGACATTTGGCTCAGGCACTGCACAAGCAGAACAGAAAGCAGGACCTGTGACCTCCTTCCACATTACTAAGAACACTTAGTAATTCTATGACCTTGGGTCATTGATTTAACCCCATAGTTCTCAGGTTCTTCATCCATGAATTGGGGATCATAACGGAACCTACCTCAAAGCTTTGGAAGGATCCAGTGAAGTAGAGTGTATGCAAATTCTTAGTTTGGCCTCTAATAACACTGTCACCCCACTCCAGTGGACTATGGCCAGCACTTTAGCTGTCTTTCTGTCGGCTCAATACCAGGCATTTGATAATTAGCAGAGTAAACATTAGAAACGCATTCTCCTTGGTGAAAGCAGAGGTATTCAAGACGTGTGGGTTGGCCAAATGGATTCTGAGACACACCTGACTCTTGTAAGAGCAGGAGAAAGAATGCAGTGAGACCTCAAGGGATATGCGGTCAGGGCATCTAGAGACGCAGATGGCTGCAACTAGCCCACAGAACAAGCCGTGTGAGCGCTGCTGGACCCATTTGCAAGTAAATAGTTGCTCAGAAAATATCTACATATGTGGCAGAATTTGGTCAAAGGCTTGCTTTTATTCGGCTTGATAATGAGGTCTGCCTTCACGTCCTCAAAGTTTTCAGTGGCTGCTGTCAAATAAATAAACCAAACACCCAACACAACAAAACCTGAGAGTTGTGACCAAATGGATTCAGGTCAGTTCACAGTATGGTGCTGTCTCCAGAGCATAGCACATGTCAATGCTCACAGGAGAGGGAGGTAGTGCCACTTTTAACTTGATGGTGGTCAGGGGCGCCAGGGCCTCACTGGCCTCCAGTCCAGGATCCTGATCCAGAACCTTCCTGGGTACTCATCCCCCTGAGAACTCCCCAGTTGGCCTTCCGGGTCACCCTGGGTCAGACTCACAGGCTCTGTTGGCTTTCTGGAATGAGGAAATGCTGCTCAGTCTTTAAGAAACCCTGAAACTGTGGCTGAGGCAAAGGTCACTGTCTGGGCCCATGATGTATCTGGAAAATCAGTTCTTCCCTTCGAGTTCCCACAGGACAAGCCCTCTGAGGAAGTCTTTGGGGACCCATTACCAACTCCCACACTTGGACCAGAATACCCGAGGAGAATTTCTGGCCATACTAGAGAAATTGCCTTGAAGAAATGGGGCTCAGTCTGCACCCTGGGAGAAACTGAACTTCCACACCTTCCTGGGGCTCTGCAAAGGCTGCTGGGCAGGGGACCCAGGTGTGAAGAGGCCCCTGATGCTGGAGAGCTCACTACCCCTCTACCACTAGAGATGGGAGAGCCCTTCCTTGATGGGCAGGGCCTACTGGGAGATGGGCTGCTGCTCTTTGCACTCCCTTCTCCAAGGAGTTTTTCATGGGTGAGCGTTGTTGCAGGGTGCAGGTGGGAAGGTCAGGCAGCATTCAGGAGGAAAGAAGATGGGCTTGGGGCAGCCCAAGCCTCTAAGTTCTCCTCTTGCCCACCTTCCTTCTCCCTTTTTTCCTTCCTCATCAATGAGAGAAGTATGTGTGTCTTGGGGGAGAGGAAGGATAAAGACGGGGAAGTGCTGGGCTTTCATGCTCCAGGGCCACTCTCCTAACCATGAAGAAGCTCATATGTGTATCCTTCCCAACTCAAGTTGGTAGCTTGACCCTCTGCAGCAGCTCACATTCTGCAGGCTGATCAGAAAGTTAGCCAGGCCTACATGTCACCCCCCTCTGAGCCTCTTTCCCACCTCCAGTCTCACCCTGCTCCCATGTACCCACTGCCCTCATTCAACGCATCCTCACCCCTTCAAGGTCTGCTTCAGAATTTGCCTTTCCCTCCTTACTCCTCTCCCCTACCCAAATCCTAGGCTACATTTGCATTTTAAGAGCCATCCTGGTTAATCCTAAAGAGTTTCCAATTCATGAGTGAGGACTCCCCCACCCCTAGTCTGTAAACCAGAGAGCAAACTGCTCAGATTATCATTCATCTTCTACCTTTGCAAATAGCTCAACCTCCCAGTCAAGCAAAGCGCCATTGTGGGGAGAACACACCTCCAGCGGGTCCTGGGAATTCCAGATGCTGTTTTCGGGCCAACGGAGTTCTCCCGTAGCAAAATTTACCTATGGAAAACTACCCCAGTGTGTGAGCAGCCTAACAAGCAGTTTCTTCCTCGTTGGCCTGGGGCTCTGTGGATCTACCTCAGGAAATTCTTAGGCTGTGCCTTAATTTACTTCCCGGCCAGAGTTCCTATTAGAGGCCACACTGGTGAATACAGGAGCGGGACTGATAATCTAGTGGAAATCCATGCATGTAATTGGGAGAACAAGGAGAGATGAGAACAAGTGTATGAGAACTTGAGGGTCTTCAGATGGGCAAAGGGAAAAAGGGGCGGGGGAGGAGAGGACCCTTCTCTCTGGTTCAGGCCAGCAGGGCAGAAGTGAGCCAGGCCCGATTACAGAGCCTTTCAGACTCCTGATACAAGAAATGGCTTTCCTGGCTCCACAGGGTCTCCGGAGATGGCAAGAACCTTCCCAGGTCACAGGACGAGCCAGTCACACAGCTCTGGGTGAAACGGGCTTCCACCCCCCTCTAGGTCTCTTTCCTGGGATCTGCTAAAGCAGCCATCCTTTAAGGGCACTGTCTTAGTTAGGAGTCAGGCACTCGAGGTTGAATGACTCTCTCTGCTCTTCAGCAGCCACGTGAACTGCACCAAGTTACTAAATTTCTCCAGCCTGGTTGGCAAAATGGGGATAGTATGTCCCCTGGAAGGACAATTGTGAAGATAAAATGACCAACAGATGTGAAGGCGTCTCAAGCAGTGCCTGGCTGGTAAATGCACTCAGGACAGAAGAGCTGTCATCTTTCCCCTCTAAATACAGCCCGAGGGTGCTTTGCCAAGCCCCTCAGACATGCTGGCAGCAGCTCCCACCCTGCGGATGCGGTCAGGCCAGAGGTGCGCGCCACCTCTGCTCTCCCAGGACTTTGCCTACACTCTGCACTCCCCATCTGTGCCTGGTGGGCAGCAGGACTGCCTGGGTCAGAAGGGAAGCTGCTTCAGAGCCTGGCCTCCCTGAGCACTTTGGGGATGGCCCTGTGGATGGGAACCTGGGCTCATCCCACCTGAGACTCACCAGGAATGGCTGGGAGTTCGTGGAAACCAACCTGCCTTCCAGACCTTCTCAGGAGGAACCACACACACCAAGGTGAATGAAAACCAGATGCAGGCAATAGGAGGTTGTGTGTGTGTGTGTGTGTGTGTGTGTGTGTGTGTGTGTGTTTTAAAGCAGAACATCCCACCTGCCTTGATGGGAGGAGACACCTGTTCACTCCCGGGGACTACAGAACTCCCTGCCCTCTCCCAACCTCAGGGCTGGCCTGCTCATTCCTGCGGGCCCTTTGGGCTGTGCATTTCCCCCTGATCACATGGGCCTCAGCCCTACAGAGCACCCTTGGGCCCAAGCGCCCTCGGTGGGTTGGTCACATTTTCTGAGTTACAAATGCAGCTCGGGGCAGGAACTTTGTCACTGAGTCTGAAGTAGACAGAAGGGACAGGGTGGGCTTGGAGATGACCAGCGGTCTGGAGAGGCTGAGTGGGGCTCCTCCCTCTCAGACCCGGTACCCCAAATCTCCACGCAGATCTTAACCCTGGAGGTGGCCAGCTGCGATTTGGGAGATGGAGTCCAGCCACTTGTCTCACGCCCCTCGAGGGAAGAGTCCCAGAGGCCGGTGAGGTGGGGTGTGCCTTACAGCGCCCTGAGATCGGTGTTCCCCGCAGATTCAGGCAGGCTGCTTCCCGCCCCTGCCGCCGGG